GTGTGTGTGTGTGTTACAGTGTGTGTTACAGTGTGTGTGTGTGTTACAGTGTGTGTTACAGTGTGTGTTACAGTGTGTGTTACAGTGTGTGTTACAGTGTGTGTGTGTGTTACAGTGTGTGTGTGTGTTACAGTGTGTGTGTGTGTTACAGTGTGTGTTACAGTGTGTGTGTCTCAGTAGAAACTCACAGTAAACCTGCACCGAGGTTTTAATCTGCCTGTTCTCTCCTCCACAGCTGACTTTACACAGCAGGAGTCCCTCATGCTCCATCATCACGGGGTCAAAGGTCACCACGGAGTGAGTCCTGTTGGTGCTGACGGAGGCGGTCAGAGGCCGGTCCCCCATCAGGGACCAAGACACGATCGGCATCTCAGGACATTGCTGAACGTGGCACACCAGCTGCTGACGCTCCCCGAGTCTCAACAGAGGCCTTTTGGGAGACACGTCCACACCCAGACCCTGAACGCAACACGCTGACATCAGCAGTACAGCTGTGAAGGTAAACAACAACAACAACAAGACTAGTTTAACTCCCGTCCATCAACTCGCTGACAACACAGAGTTTACTGATGAGAGGAGGGCACCGCGTTTATTGATCATTTATAATCAATAAACAGGTCAGAAACAGACTTTAATAATATAAACGTCTTCACTGGAGAAGGTTTGATAAATAAACATTAAACACGTCATCAATCGTTACTTACATGTTACAGGCCGATTAAATGCGATCAGTAAGTACAGAAGATGTGTGCTGATGAAACAATCAGCTGATCAGTCGGTTTGTCCATCAACAGAAAAAGAATTCCTCACTGATTGGTGTCAGTTTCTCTCTGTTTCTAAACTAAACCTTAATCAATCAGTCAAGAAACAATTAATGATTAATGATTAACGGCCCCTTAGTCACCAGGGGCCCACAGGGGTCACCAGAGGTCACCAGGGGCCAGCAGGAGCCCATAAACCATCAGGGAGTAAATATATAGATGGTGTTAGAGGCCCCTAAACCTCAGAACCTACATATCCTCCTGGCAGGAATGTGAATTTGCATGTTTCTGATTGGTAACGGCGGCATTTTGCTGATGACATCACGTTGTGTCGTCATACTGACTGGTCGAAGCTGTCCCTGGACGCAGCTCTTGATTGGACTGAGGATCAGATAAACTCACTACAGCAGCGTGGATCCCTCCGCCGCTGGAAGTAGTCCCAGCAGACGCGCTCTGTGGTCTCTTAGGGTCCCAGAAGTCCCGTTCCACTGCTGCCTGGATCCGTTTTCAGTTTGGTTTTATTTTTTGGTCTCAGAGTTCTAATCTGAATAATCTGATCCTCAGTCCAATCAAACGCTGCGTGCAGGACAGCTTTAACCAATCACAGCTCTCTCGCTCGTTTCAGCGGCATCAGTCTGACAGCAGCCGTGTCCAGTCAGAAACATGGTGATGGTGCAGTGGACACAGGGTTTTGGTGTGTGAGAGCAGTGTTCAGTTCCCACTGTGACCAACGTGTCCCTGTACAGCAGCTGAGTCGCTGAATGAATAAATGTACGATGACGCGGTGGATTTCTAATGACAACATGATCATCAGGAGGTCGGTGACAGAACTCTGATGTTTGGAAACTGTCACGTAAAACCAGTAACAAAATCAATCACTCAATACTAGTTCAGAGTTTCTCAACATCTGGCCGTGGCTCCTCGTGGGGTCACCTGAGGTCAGCACATTAAACTGCTGTCTGACAGGTTTATATTCTATATATGATTCTATACGCTTTAATGAAGATGAACGCGTTATCATCATCAGAAGCACCCAGACCATCACAATACAAACACAGAGACTGGATTTCACACCGGAGACAAAATAAAGATCTCACCTGCGAGCAGCCGGACAAAGATCCTGCAGACAGACGGCAGAGACATCTCACTCCTCTGAGGGTCTGAACACACTGATGAACAGCAGCGTCTCCTTTGTGTCCAGGTTTCACACTGATCACAAACAAACGCCTCTCAGCTGCTCAGCCTTTCTCTCTCTCTCTCTCTCTCTCTCTCTGTGTTTACCCAGGCTGCAGACCACAGCGCCCTCTGCAGGACGCACCTCAAACTGCACTGGACAACATTTCTCTTTCACTTCCATTGTTATTCCTCCTTCTCCTCTCTTTCACTTGCATTTTCATTATTATGATGGGAAACTTTGATCGGTTTAACTGTTTCCGGGTGTTTGTGATAAACTGATGAATCACTTCACTTTTAGACAGTTTTGGAAGTAATAAAGTGTTTTGTTTCTACTGGAGCCTCCGTCTTTCCTCATTATTCAAACTCTTTCAACTTTATTTTAAATTCTGATTGATTGACTGATTGATTGACTGTGTGATCACAGACTGAGTGCCTCCCCAGCTGGCATTCATCAGTCTGCTGAGTCACTGAGGAGGAGCAGTCATGTGACCACGCTCACTTTCACTTGATTAAACTGTGACAGGTGAAGAGGTTTCTGACCTTTGACTTCATGCAGACAGGCAGTGCGATGAGCAGCGAGGTCATGTGATCTCTCCCATCCTCTTCCTCCGGGTCCCTCTGCTCAGCAGGTGGACCCTGATCCGATGAACCACCTCAGCTGCTCAGAGCTCCTCCCCCTGAGGAGGAAGCTCATGTTGGCCACCTGATCTGGATCTGTCGGTCACCGTCCACAGCTCGAGACCAGGGGACCCGGTCGTAGTCAGTGACGCACATGTAGACTCAGGGCTCTACAGTGCGACCATTTTGCTCGCATATGCGCCTAAAAATCGAGACGTAGGAAGCAGAAATATGATTTACGAGCACAACGTGCGACTATCTACAACCTTGGATAGCCCAGCAGCTCGTTACAAAACAAAGACAGAGCTGCAGCAGCTGGAGCAGCGAGACACAAGACAGATAACGAGGACGTGGGTTTGGCGAGCTGAATATATCAGGCGCTTTTTGTTAACAACATCGATGTGCTCATCAGTTTCACTTTTCATCAACTGGCCAATCACAGTGAACTTTGAGACGTTGAACTCGTCCTGCATGACTGGTTCTGATTATTGATGAGATTAGTAGCATTAACAAATTAAGAGACCAGTGCGGGCAATTTTCCTTGCAGAAGGATTTAATGAATGAAACTGCTGGAATTAATATTAGCGCCTTCTAGTGGTGAGCTGTGTAGTGTACTGTTACATAAAATGACCATTCATACAGTAAAATGTAACTTTTTATCATAATAATATAAATACTAATAGACTCATTTAAACTAGTTCCTCCTGCAGTGGAAGGCTCAGAGTGCCAGGATGTGTCCTCCTGAGAGCAACACCTTCCCCTGGTCTGATTCACTAAATGTGCCGATTGTCCAGAGACCAGGGTCCTCGCTCTCAGTCCTCCAGTGTTTACACACCATAGTTTAACACAAGGAGAAGGAGCACACACCTACTTTAAATATGTATATAATAAATAGTTTGTTAAACTTTGTGTTGCTCGAACATTTGTCACTGTGCTCCTACATTTTTTCCATTTAGGAGCACATGTGCTCACGGGGGAAAAGGTTAGCGTAGAGCCCTGGATGCTCAGACTCCCATGACTCCTTCCCAACAACCCCGAGAGGGTAAAGAGCTGGTCGGTCCAGGATGGAGTCCACACTGCTCCTCCTGCAGCCGGTCTGAGTCTCGTGTCCAGCACCCTGACCCCTGGAGCCTGAAGGAGTCCTGCGCTGCGTTTGTGCTGCTCAGATATCAAACAAATAGAAATCGGTGTTTCAGTTTGGCGTCCCGTTCAGTGGACGGTTTCCTCACCTGTTCATCGTTATCTGAAGATCAACGCCTCAACCAATCAGTGGATCCACTAGCTGTATACTCTGCTGTGTAGTTTAACCTCCACATGCACCAGATTTTAGAAACACTTCCTTTGTAAAGTACCTGTCAGGTAAAGGTGGTGAAGTAAAAGTATCAGGAACACAACATGGAAATACTGAAGTACTTGAGTCAAAGTATCACAACGTGAAAACAGAAGAATCATTATTTTATTCAGTTATTGCTCAGATAGAAACTCTGCTGTCAGTTTTTCTCTTAAAAGACTTTAACATGACAATAAAAACAGGAAGTTCTTCATTTAAACATCCAAAATAAAAGCCCTCGTCTGAAAACAACCCTGATGAGTCAAACAGCAGTTTTAACATGTCGAAGGCACTTCGGACACTTAGAGACGCCTTTTATTATTTTTATAAATATTAATAAACAGACAACGTGTCACACCAGTGGCCTGCACCACGAGGGGAGTTAACTGAGGGTAACAAACTCTGACCGCTACGCTGGAGTTAAACTGCGGCGGTGGATCAGACGTTGGTTAGCTGAGTCGGCGTTAACTTATTTGGAGTTGGTTCGGCCGCGCAGGCAGAGTTTTTCACAGCGGCGCGTGCTCCGCATTCCTCCAGAGGAACGCACGTTGGCAGTGTCGGGAAATTATGACTGTAAAGACGAGTTAACTCTAAATCTAATATCGTGGCGGCCGACAGAGCCAGGGAGGCTTGTTGGCGTCGCATGGAGTGAATCTGTAGCCTGAATATCTTCAGGGGTCTGATTGTAGTTCAAATCTCTATTCTGTGTTTTATGGGCTCTTCTTTTATGTGTAACGTGATGAAGATGTAAAAGTCCAGCTGCACACGAGGGGGAATAATCCCAGACAGAAAATAATTTCCAAGATTAATCTACAAGTGAAGAACCTGAATATTCTCTGAGATTATAGTCACACATTTATGAGAGAAACTTCTGCAGGCAGTGGAAAGTTATATTAGACTTCACAATCTGATCCAGCAGTGAGGAAATACTCGTGAGTTTAGCCCACAGTCACTATCCTGCACCTCAGACTTCACCGTGGATCGGCCGTATTCAGAAGGAAACTCCAGAGGGATTCTCGATTTTTGTGACTTTAATTTCAGGGATTTTAAATTTCACACTTTCATGGAGGATTTTTCCCCTCGTTATTAAGCCCGACCCTGGCTCTGTATTTTTGGACAGGTAAAACAGTCTAAATATCTAAATATGTGAAACCACGCAGACGGGCTCCATCTAAGAAACTGTGCCGTTAATTAAGATTCCTCTCTAACTCCCCGAGGCTGCAGGGCTCGCTGTGTGAACGTGATGCTGCTGTGTTCACAACTTCACTGCAGCCTCAGAGGAACAAATCAGGTGTGGATTAATATCCTGCTTCTCATCAGTAACACTGAGTACAGATGTGGTGTGGAGTCCACGTGCAGGGGAACCTCGAGGTAACCACCAACAAAACCTGCTCGGAGCAGTTTAGAGATGCGGCGTAAATTGCCATGGCAACAGACCTCGGGTAACACCTGTCCACCTTTCGTAGTACGTGTTAACCGGGAAGTTACACCTGAAGTTACCTGGATAAGCCAGTTACATCCGCTTCGCAGTACAGGCCGCAGTGCACTCACAGGTAAACTGACTCAGTAACAGGAAGTTGTTGGCTCAAATATTTCACCTTAAAAGGACTAAACTGTTTTTTCAAACATTCTGTTTCTGTGTTGCAGCTTTTATTCTGAAAAGGTCTTGTTGTTTCAACCAATGGGAGATTTCAGAGCAAGGTCAGCTGATCTCCAGCAGCCAATCAGCAAATATTCAGATTTTAAAACACAAACAAAAATTTAAATACTTGTAAACAGCTGGCGTCACATGATCAATAACACGTTTAGAGGAGCAGTTCGACGTTTTCTTCTGTCTGCTTCATTTAGTTTCACTGAGAAAACATCCATTTCTGAAATAAAGACATTTTAAAGTCTACCTGTTCATTTGTGTAAAGGGAAGTCTGAGCGTACCTGAATAGTTTCTGTTTTATCTGGTTTCTTTTCTTGTTCGTCTCGTCTGTTTTTTAACGATCGCTCCTCCGTTTGCTTCTTTGCTCGTTAAGGACAGGAATTTTGCAGTTTACTACACTTCCTGGTCAGTAAACGCGTCACAACCTGCTGCTTTATGATCACAGACTCGTTTCTGTGTGAATTGAAACCCTCCGGTGATCATGTGACCTTCCTGTAACTTTACTGAACACAAAGCTCGACACAAATATAAAAACACAAAATATTTTCCAGTACCGCGACACAAATGCACCCTGATTCCTGCCGGTATTGATCCACGTCAGAGCCGATATTAGTTGTGATGGTTGTGGCCGATACTGAAACTATAATATGAATCCTACAGTAAATAAATATTTTCAGATATTATTCATCCTCAAAATAAAGATTACATTAATTTATTGTAAAGGTATTAAAAGATTTACGAGCACGTGTGAGCTGCAGACTATCACTGATCAATCAACAACTACACGGATGGGAAGATCAATCAGACGCGTCTTTAAGGCTGAGTGGGCGTTGACCGCTGCTGGCTCCGCCCCCTCGCTCACACACACACACACCTGAGTCTGCTTTTGGGTCCCTTCTTCTTTTCTTCTTGTTATTATTGCTGTTAGAAAAGAACACTGACCAATCACATCAACACAATCTGATCAGAAACAGGAAGTAAATACTGTAACCATGACGACGTCATCAGCTGATCCTTCAGTTTATCAAAAAAAAAAAAAATCTTCGTCTGCCACAAATAAAAAATATAAATCTGTATTCTGTATCTAATATATCTTCTGTTTCAGCCAAACACTGCTCATTTACATACAGCTCATTTACATACAGCTCATTAGCATACAGCTCATTCACACGCCGCTTATTAGCACACAGCTCATTTACATACAGTATGGACGGAGAGCAGCTGCTGCTGCCTCAGAGTCTCTTCAGTCACCGAGCTGAACTCCTGCTGCTTTATTAGCTTCCCTTTGAGCCCCACACAGAGGGGGATTGTGGGTAATGTGTCCTCAGGTCAGATGTGTAGTTCTAGTACTGGACGTACTCCGACTGAAGAGACTGGAAGACAGAAACGCAGAAGTTCTGAATAAACTTGATGTTTTTACAGACACATGTTTCGGTGATCCTTCATTACTGTTGTTGGTTATTGATGTCACTTCCTGCGGTCAGTCACACTGAGCAGCTGAGGCAGAAACAGATTACTGTGTTCACCCAACGGCTGTTATCAGATTATTTAAAGGTCAGATGACTCTGAGCTCCTCTCTGGGGGGCTGTAGCCACACCCACTGCTCTCAGCTTCCTGTTGGTGATTGGCTCATTGATCTCTCAATATTTACAGAACCAGTATCTAATCACATCCTTAACAACAATACAGAACATCTACAACACATCAAACTGGTATCTGAGTAACAGTCTGAACAGACAACCAATCACGGTGTCAGAAACCGACACTAACCAATGAAATTTCACGCTTAGCTTGAATCCGCCTCTGAACTTTCATGATTTGTTGCTGGTCCAAAGGACTTTATTATATTTGGATCCGAGAGCTTTCCAACGGTCATGTGGTGCAGACAGCGACAGCGGGAGGAGATGCAGCGTTACGAACGTTTCGGAGAAACCTACAGACGCTCAGAACTAAAACACCGAATCAGAGAACGATTAAACAAAGTTTCTGCTGCCGTGTCTCGGACGCTATCTGCTTTACTGCCTCGTCGTCTCTCACGTTCAGCAAAATGTCAACTACATAAAATGTCCTGAGTACTGTCTGCAGGTATTGCTTTCAGCTGCACAGCTCCAACAACCTTGCAGCCTGAGAGGCAGAGCCCTGGGTAAAAAGAAACTACTAACAGCAGTGCCGTCCTTCAAGGTGACGGACCGGATGAGGATTTCCAGGTCAGACGAGGAGGTGTGTTCAGGTGTGTGTGATGGTTTCGCTTCATGCTAACGTGAGAGGAACAGTTTATCACGACATTAAAGTCACATGTGAGCTTCCTGTGTAGAGTCACGATGGACAGACTGTCAGTGTGGACACACCTGGTCATGTGACCTCTGTTACAGGTGAGCTGAAGTTCAGGAGAAACACGCCAGAAGCTTCTTGCATTTTTATTGGCAGACAGTCGAACGTCAGTAAAAAGAAACTGCAGTTCGTCTGTAACTTATATAACCTGAGTTCAGACTGACAGGAAGCGACGACCAGATTTAAATGTACAGGTGGGTCGTGTTACCTGACAGAGGCAGGCTAGCTTCATATTTAGCGTACACGAGCGGCGTCAGTGTGAACGTCTGGCTCAGAGGGTAGAGAAGAAGAAGGCTGTTGCTGATGTCAGAACACAGAGAACCAATCAGCAAAGAGGGGCGGGGCTAAGCTGCTGCTGTTTCAGAGGACTTACAGGTATGGAGCGGCTCAGGTAGCGTCCTGATGGGCCCTTCAGAGCGGCGCTGTAGGGCCCCGGGCCCCTGAAGTCCGGAGGCCCCGTCCTGCTACCGAGGACGAAGTCGGAGCTTTTCCCTGCGGGGGGCCCCGCAGAGGCTCCGTACAGACCGCTGTTGTTGTTGACCTCCTGCTGCACGCTGCGAGGGCTGTTTCCATAACGACACACAGAGGGAGGGGCCAGAGAGGAGTGGGAGGGGCTGAGAGACACAGAGGAGGAGGGAGGAAGAGCAGAGTAGGGAGGTTTTTATCCTCCTCCAGGTCTGCAGCGTAAAGGTCACTGAGCGAGCTCGCCAACCGAGAGCTGGGGGGGGGGGGGGGGGGGGGTGGGGGGGTGGACACATGTCAGTAAGAGAATGATGATCTATTAGAAACAAGTCTGGATTGTTCAATTTTATTTAAGCATCTGGGCCTGTCACCATGGCAACAAGTCCTTGTGAACCTCAAACAGGAAGTGATTGTTAGCTACATGTTGAAATAATCTGACTGTAGAAGAAGAACGTGACGTGTTGAACAGAACTCCTGATCAATACTGACACTAACGAGCAGAAACCTGATCAACGAACACGGAACTCACTGAACTCATCAATATTCATGTTTATCAAAGAGTGGAAACACTGAACACCTCACATGTACCTGCAGAGAAGTACACACAGATACTAACAGCTGCGTATTATTACCTACTACAGCCTGTATATCAGCACTATCAGGGACCAGAGGAGGTGTTCTAGTCCTATCAGGAGGCGTACTAGTCCTTTCAGGGACCAGAGGAGGCGTACTAGTCCTATCAGGAGGCGTACTAGTCCTTTCAGGAGGCGTACTAGTCCTTTCAGGGACCAGAGGAGGCGTACTAGTCCTATCAGGAGGCGTACTAGTCCTTTCAGGAGGCGTACTAGTCCTTTCAGGGACCAGAGGAGGCGTACTAGTCCTATCAGGAGGCGTACTAGTCCTTTCAGGAGGCGTACTAGTCCTTTCAGGGACCAGAGGAGGCGTACTAGTCCTATCAGGAGGCGTACTAGTCCTTTCAGGGACCAGAGGAGGCGTACTAGTCCTATCAGGAGGCGTCCTAGTCCTATCAGGGACCAGAGGAGGCGTACTAGTCCTATCAGGAGGCGTCCTAGTCCTTTCAGGAGGCGTCCTAGTCCTTTCAGGAGGCGTACTAGTCCTTTCAGGAGGCGTACTAGTCCTATCAGGAGGCGTACTAGTCCTATCAGGAGGCGTACTAGTCCTATCAGGGACCAGAGGAGGCGTACTAGTCCTATCAGGGACCAGAGGAGGCGTACTAGTCCTTTCAGGAGGCGTACTAGTCCTTTCAGGAGGCGTACTAGTCCTTTCAGGAGGCGTACTAGTCCTTTCAGGAGGCATACTAGTCCTTTCAGGAGGCATACTAGTCCTTTCAGGAGGCGTACTAGTCCTATCAGGGACCAGAGGAGGCGTCCTAGTCCTATCAGGAGGCGTACTAGTCCTATCAGGGACCAGAGGAGGCGTACTAGTCCTTTCAGGAGGCGTACTAGTCCTATCAGGGACCAGAGGAGGCGTACTAGTCCTATCAGGGACCAGAGGAGGCGTACTAGTCCTTTCAGGGACCAGAGGAGGTGTACAAGTCCTTTCAGGGACCAGAGGAGGCGTCCTAGTCCTATCAGGGACCAGAGGAGGCGTCCTAGTCCTATCAGGAGGCGTCCTAGTCCTATCAGGGACCAGAAGAGGCGTCCTAGTCCTATCAGGAGGCGTCCTAGTCCTATCAGGGACCAGAGGAGGCGTCCTAGTCCTATCAGGAGGCGTCCTAGTCCTATCAGGGACCAGAGGAGGCGTCCTAGTCCTATCAGGAGGCGTCCTAGTCCTATCAGGGACCAGAGGAGGCGTACTAGTCCTATCAGGAGGCGTACTAGTCCTATCAGGGACCAGAGGAGGCATACTAGTCCTATCAGGAGGCGTACTAGTCCTATCAGGGACCAGAGGAGGCATACTAGTCCTATCAGGAGGCGTACTAGTCCTATCAGGGACCAGAGGAGGCGTACTAGTCCTATCAGGAGGCGTACTAGTCCTATCAGGAGGCGTACTAGTCCTATCAGGAGGCGTACTAGTCCTATCAGGAGGCGTACTAGTCCTATCAGGGACCAGAGGAGGCATACTAGTCCTTTCAGGAGGCGTACTAGTCCTTTCAGGAGGCATACTAGTCCTTTCAGGAGGCATACTAGTCCTTTCAGGAGGCATACTAGTCCTTTCAGGAGGCGTACTAGTCCTATCAGGGACCAGAGGAGGCGTCCTAGTCCTATCAGGAGGCGTACTAGTCCTTTCAGGAGGCGTACTAGTCCTATCAGGGACCAGAGGAGGCGTACTAGTCCTTTCAGGGACCAGAGGAGGTGTACAAGTCCTTTCAGGGACCAGAGGAGGCGTCCTAGTCCTATCAGGGACCAGAGGAGGCGTCCTAGTCCTATCAGGAGGCGTCCTAGTCCTATCAGGGACCAGAAGAGGCGTCCTAGTCCTATCAGGGACCAGAGGAGGCGTCCTAGTCCTATCAGGAGGCGTCCTAGTCCTATCAGGGACCAGAGGAGGCGTCCTAGTCCTATCAGGAGGCGTCCTAGTCCTATCAGGGACCAGAGGAGGCGTCCTAGTCCTATCAGGGACCAGAGGAGGCGTACTAGTCCTATCAGGAGGCGTACTAGTCCTATCAGGGACCAGAGGAGGCATACTAGTCCTATCAGGAGGCGTACTAGTCCTATCAGGAGGCGTACTAGTCCTATCAGGGACCAGAGGAGGCATACTAGTCCTATCAGGAGGCGTACTAGTCCTATCAGGGACCAGAGGAGGCGTACTAGTCCTATCAGGAGGCGTACTAGTCCTATCAGGAGGCGTACTAGTCCTATCAGGAGGCGTACTAGTCCTATCAGGAGGCGTACTAGTCCTATCAGGGACCAGAGGAGGCATACTAGTCCTTTCAGGAGGCGTACTAGTCCTTTCAGGAGGCATACTAGTCCTTTCAGGAGGCATACTAGTCCTTTCAGGAGGCGTACTAGTCCTATCAGGGACCAGAGGAGGCGTCCTAGTCCTATCAGGAGGCGTCCTAGTCCTATCAGGGACCAGAGGAGGCGTCCTAGTCCTATCAGGAGGCGTCCTAGTCCTATCAGGGACCAGAGGAGGCGTCCTAGTCCTATCAGGAGGCGTCCTAGTCCTATCAGGGACCAGAGGAGGCGTACTAGTCCTATCAGGAGGCGTACTAGTCCTATCAGGGACCAGAGGAGGCATACTAGTCCTATCAGGAGGCGTACTAGTCCTATCAGGGACCAGAGGAGGCATACTAGTCCTATCAGGAGGCGTACTAGTCCTATCAGGGACCAGAGGAGGCGTACTAGTCCTATCAGGAGGCGTACTAGTCCTATCAGGAGGCGTACTAGTCCTATCAGGAGGCGTACTAGTCCTATCAGGAGGCGTACTAGTCCTATCAGGGACCAGAGGAGGCATACTAGTCCTTTCAGGAGGCGTACTAGTCCTTTCAGGAGGCATACTAGTCCTTTCAGGAGGCATACTAGTCCTTTCAGGAGGCATACTAGTCCTTTCAGGAGGCGTACTAGTCCTTTCAGGAGGCGTACTAGTCCTATCAGGGACCAGAGGAGGCGTCCTAGTCCTATCAGGAGGCGTACTAGTCCTTTCAGGAGGCGTACTAGTCCTATCAGGAGGCGTACTAGTCCTATCAGGGACCAGAGGAGGCGTACTAGTCCTTTCAGGGACCAGAGGAGGTGTACAAGTCCTTTCAGGGACCAGAGGAGGCGTCCTAGTCCTATCAGGGACCAGAGGAGGCGTCCTAGTCCTATCAGGAGGCGTCCTAGTCCTATCAGGGACCAGAAGAGGCGTCCTAGTCCTATCAGGGACCAGAGGAGGCGTCCTAGTCCTATCAGGAGGCGTCCTAGTCCTATCAGGGACCAGAGGAGGCGTCCTAGTCCTATCAGGAGGCGTCCTAGTCCTATCAGGGACCAGAGGAGGCGTCCTAGTCCTATCAGGGACCAGAGGAGGCGTACTAGTCCTATCAGGAGGCGTACTAGTCCTATCAGGGACCAGAGGAGGCATACTAGTCCTATCAGGAGGCGTACTAGTCCTATCAGGAGGCGTACTAGTCCTATCAGGGACCAGAGGAGGCATACTAGTCCTATCAGGAGGCGTACTAGTCCTATCAGGGACCAGAGGAGGCGTACTAGTCCTATCAGGAGGCGTACTAGTCCTATCAGGAGGCGTACTAGTCCTATCAGGAGGCGTACTAGTCCTATCAGGAGGCGTACTAGTCCTATCAGGGACCAGAGGAGGCATACTAGTCCTTTCAGGAGGCGTACTAGTCCTTTCAGGAGGCATACTAGTCCTTTCAGGAGGCATACTAGTCCTTTCAGGAGGCGTACTAGTCCTATCAGGGACCAGAGGAGGCGTCCTAGTCCTATCAGGAGGCGTACTAGTCCTATCAGGGACCAGAGGAGGCGTACTAGTCCTTTCAGGAGGCGTACTAGTCCTATCAGGGACCGGAGGAGGCGTACTAGTCCTATCAGGGACCAGAGGAGGCGTACTAGTCCTTTCAGGGACCAGAGGAGGTGTACAAGTCCTTTCAGGGACCAGAGGAGGCGTCCTAGTCCTATCAGGGACCAGAGGAGGCGTCCTAGTCCTATCAGGAGGCGTCCTAGTCCTATCAGGGACCAGAAGAGGCGTCCTAGTCCTATCAGGAGGCGTCCTAGTCCTATCAGGGACCAGAGGAGGCGTCCTAGTCCTATCAGGGACCAGAGGAGGCGTCCTAGTCCTATCAGGGACCAGAGGAGGCGTCCTAGTCCTATCAGGAGGCGTCCTAGTCCTATCAGGGACCAGAGGAGGCGTCCTAGTCCTATCAGGGACCAGAGGAGGCGTCCTAGTCCTATCAGGAGGCGTACTAGTCCTATCAGGAGGCGTACTAGTCCTATCAGGGACCAGAGGAGGCGTCCTAGTCCTATCAGGAGGCGTACTAGTCCTATCAGGGACCAGAGGAGGCGTACTAGTCCTTTCAGGAGGCGTACTAGTCCTATCAGGGACCAGAGGAGGCGTACTAGTCCTATCAGGGACCAGAGGAGGCGTACTAGTCCTTTCACGGACCAGAGGAGGTGTACAAGTCCTTTCAGGGACCAGAGGAGGCGTCCTAGTCCTATCAGGAGGCGTCCTAGTCCTATCAGGAGGCGTCCTAGTCCTATCAGGGACCAGAAGAGGCGTCCTAGTCCTATCAGGAGGCGTCCTAGTCCTATCAGGGACCAGAGGAGGCGTCCTAGTCCTATCAGGAGGCGTCCTAGTCCTATCAGGGACCAGAGGAGGCGTCCTAGTCCTATCAGGAGGCGTCCTAGTCCTATCAGGGACCAGAGGAGGCGTCCTAGTCCTATCAGGGACCAGAGGAGGCGTCCTAGTCCTATCAGGAGGCGTACTAGTCCTATCAGGAGGTGTACTAGTCCTATCAGGGACCAGAGGAGGCGTCCTAGTCCTATCAGGAGGCGTACTAGTCCTATCAGGGACCAGAGGAGGCGTACTAGTCCTTTCAGGAGGCGTACTAGTCCTATCAGGGACCAGAGGAGGCGTACTAGTCCTTTCAGGGACCAGAGGAGGTGTACAAGTCCTTTCAGGGACCAGAGGAGGCGTACTAGTCCTTTCAGGAGGCGTACTAGTCCTATCAGGGACCAGAGGAGGCGTACTAGTCCTTTCAGGGACCAGAGGAGGTGTACAAGTCCTTTCAGGGACCAGAGGAGGCGTCCTAGTCCTATCAGGGACCAGAGGAGGCGTCCTAGTCCTATCAGGAGGCGTCCTAGTCCTATCAGGGACCAGAGGAGGCGTCCTAGTCCTATCAGGAGGCGTCCTAGTCCTATCAGGGACCAGAGGAGGCGTCCTAGTCCTATCAGGGACCAGAGGAGGCGTCCTAGTCCTATCAGGGACCAGAGGAGGCGTCCTAGTCCTATCAGGAGGCGTACTAGTCCTATCAGGAGGCGTACTAGTCCTATCAGGGACCAGAGGAGGCATACTAGTCCTATCAGGAGGCGTACTAGTCCTATCAGGGACCAGAGGAGGCGTACTAGTCCTATCAGGAGGCGTACTAGTCCTATCAGGAGGCGTACTAGTCCTATCAGGGACCAGAGGAGGCATACTAGTCCTATCAGGAGGCGTACTAGTCCTATCAGGGACCAGAGGAGGCGTACTAGTCCTATCAGGAGGCGTACTAGTCCTATCAGGGACCAGAGGAGGCGTACTAGTCCTATCAGGAGGCGTACTAGTCCTATCAGGGACCAGAGGAGGCGTACTAGTCCTATCAGGAGGCGTACTAGTCCTATCAGGAGGCGTACTAGTCCTATCAGGAGGCGTACTAGTCCTATCAGGGACTAGAGGTGTTGATCAAAGGGAGGCTGACTCAAACAGGAAGTGGATGATAATACTGGATGATAACACTGACCTCCTGATGTTGGACGCCGTTGACGACGGATTTCTACCAATCCTCTTGGCTGCAGCAGAAGCAGAGGATGCTGGGAACTTGGAGGACTTGAGGGGGGAAGAGGGGCCCTGACCGGCACCCATCGACAATCTGAACACAGAGACACAAACCATTATCAATACTTTCACTGATTGATGTTTAAATCAATAAACTGAGCAGATAAAACAGAACTCAATAACAGAACTGTGAGCAGCGAGGAGGTGGCGAGGAGGTGGCGAGCGGAAGGTGAAACCAGGACCAGGCTTCAGAGCTTCAGTTTGTAGAGAAACACACCACAGACAGGAGGAGGCGGTGGCTCTGAGAGACCTGGTCCTCGTCTCTCTGCTGCTCGCATCCCTCCGCTAAGCCCCGCCCACCAAACCCACAAGGGGCTAGTTGCCCTGGAAACCTCAGCCTGCGTACGGCTCACGCTCCAAATGTGCAACCATCGGCGTCTGAGAGGGCGACGCACGGCCGGACTTAAACCAGAGCACTCACAGGAAACGCAGCACAACATACTAGATAGATAGATGAAGGTTTGAGGAGGCGGGTCTTTACTGCAGGTAGTTCCACTAACACGGAAACACCTCCGTCCACACGGCCACCGTGTTGAGAGAGGTCAGAGGTCAGAGGTGAGCTGTACCTGAGCGGCTGTGAGGCTGATCTGCTGTGCGTCTTCATCTCCTCCACTCTGAAAGAAAACAGGCAGGTTAAACCTTCAGCTTCATCAGGACCAAGGTTCTGCTGATTAAACCTGCCTCCCTGCAGCCCGTCTGTCAGGCGCACAGCAGGTGTGACAGGACAGGTTTGATGTAGGAACGACATCCAGACACAGTGGACAGAGTTGTGCGTACTGCGTAGTGAATTCAGCGCAGGTTAGAGGCCGGTGTTTCTGTTCCGCTGCCTCCCTGTAGCTCGCTGATCAATCAGTCGTGCAGCTGATACAGGAAGGAGTGCGTTTTTACTTATGGTTAGAAATCTGTGAGCTAATCAGATTCTACAGCAGACAGCTGTTATAAAAAGGCGTATCTCATTTTTTGTGTAACTTAAGTCAAAAAGTGAAACTTTCAGATAAGAGAAATATTTTCGACCATTTGTTTTAGTTAATCCACTTCTCAAAATATTCGCATGGAGACTGTATCAAAGAGACGTGGACCTCCTGTAAAGGTCGGGTTCTGCATCGGGGCGGCGAGGAGACGATCAGCCTGCTGAGCTGTTATGAAGCCCGCAGGTTCTTTGCCAGAGACCTTCAGCTCGTCCAGGGTCTCTCAGAGTCTCTGAGGGGTTCAGGTCAGGTGAGCTGGCCGACCAATCACAGTAACGCCACGGTCAGCAGACCGGTTCCTAGTGGTTCTGGTCCTGCTGGAACAGGAAACCAGCGTCTCCGTAAAGCTCGTCAGCAGATGGAGTCTCTAAAGGCTCCTGGTAGTGAGCCCAGTGGACCAGAACCAGCAGAGGACAAGGCCCCCCTTAGATCATCGCAGACTGTGGAAACTTCACTCTGGACTTTGGATTCTGGTCCTCTCCAGACTCTGGGACCTGGATTTCATCTGAAAACAGGACCACTGAGCACCGGTTCTGGTTTTCCTTAGCCCAGCTAAGACTCGTCTGACTCTGTCTCTGGTTCAGGACTGGCTGACACCAGGACTGAGACGCTTGCAGCTCATGTCCTGAGCTACAGGACTGAGATTAAAGGCTCTTCTCATTCTCTATTCTAATATTTGGAGATGTGGACTTTTGATTTCCGTGAGCTCTGATCACCAAGATTAAAACAGAAGAAATATTTTACTTAAAGTTTAATGAATGTAGAAAATAGGAAAGCTTCCCTTTTTAACCATATTCTAATTTTCTGAGACGCACCTGTACAGAACCCTTCAGATCTGTATCCAATCACACGCTGACTGTCCTACGTGTCTGTCTGAGACCTGAGCAGGGACATCTGGGGTCTCATTTCTAAACGGTGCGTACGTTCAAAACAGGGCTGGAAACGTGCGGACGCCACTTCCCACGCAAAGGTTGTGATCCAATGTGCGTCCTGTAAGTAAAGGAGGAGAAAAGAGAAACGGCGCCGCACACGGCAGAAGGATGTAACGCTTTGAAATGAAGAGGTGGAAAATAAATCCAAATATTCCCTCTGAGTATTCCAGGCTTAAAGCCTTTCTGAATAAAAAAAAACACGTTTCCTTAAGTGGCACAAAAAAAAAAAAAAAAAATTTAAGATCATTTGCAGCCACAAAGATCCAGATTCAGGATCAGAAACACAAACGGAGAAAGAACGCCTCAGATATGTTGCACAGTTTAATCAGGAATCAGATTAATTAATACCTGCATGCAGCAATTTATTCTCCTGAATAAGGTGAACAGGAGACAAATTACATTTAAACTGATGCTGTTTTCAGAGCGTCAGTCGAGCAAATAGGAGAGCAGAGTTTCATATACTGTTATCAGATGTTCGTGGAGCCAAACGCTGAGCGCCGGCGTGTGGATGTGATGCTGCTTGTAAAAACACGTTATGGAAATAAAACACTATTTTATGTCATTACAACACGTCCTATTTCTTTAACTCGTCAGCAGCCTCGTTCAGCGAGCCGACTGTTTGTGGAAATAAATGTTTAAACACAGAGGAAGGAATCCAGATCAGTACCTGGGTCATCCCTCCAGCCAGCGACGTCACTACTCAGAGGGAGGCCCCTTCCTGCAGATCGGTCATAAAGGGGCGGGGCTCCGGGGCCCCTTTCCTCGGGTGCACAAGCGTTGGTGAAAGTGTGTTTTTTCCCCACCAAACAGCTTCAGCTTCACCAAAAGGAAGTTCAGAGTCCCTGAGTTAGATTCAGAGTCTGCCTCCTTTTCTTCCTGCAGTCGGGACGTATGAACATTAATGAGCTTCACTGAGCGTTTACAGGCAGCTGTGGGCGCTTGGAGGGTCGGACGTGGCGCTCCCTCACAGGGGCCACATTTCAAGTTGATTGTGATTTAGAAAGCTAACTTGCTGACAGATGTGCGTACGCTCGGTTTTATAAGTCTGAGAATTTTTTGCTGTATGCCATTTTTGGCGTTTGGGAGCACGGACACTTTTAGAGAGGTTTTATAAATGAGACCCCTAGTTATTCTGAACTCTGCTCTCTGTTGGAGGTTTAGGTTCTGGTCTTGGTTCTGGTACCTGAGAGCTACGGTGGTGGCAGGGCGGGGGGGCCGTCGGCTCTTCAAGGCTCTCAGTTTGTCTCCCTGAGTCAGACCCGGTCCGCCGTCCATCACCTCACTCTGGAGGATAAAACAAGCGCACCATGAG